GTTTGTGAATTTTCGGGCGAGCGAGATATTCGTCTATGTATAGCTGGTGCGAATTTCTGGGTTGGAAATCGTAGTGGTATCTGATGACAGGCTCTGTGGATGACCCATCAGCAACGAAGTTGCTCATTGTGGGAGAGTGTACGGAGGAAGAGGTGATAACATTCGGGGTGAATATCAGCGTCACGCGCCACGAAATTCGGGGGGTCGGTCTCTGTTGAAATGGTGGTTACAGAAGAGGGCGTTGGCTGATAGAAGCGACAAGCCGCTGGTGGTTGCGGGCTGGATCACCGAAGAGATCACCAGAGCCTCTTTGGAGGGCATTCTACTGGTAACAGGGCGAATTTTTGGGCGAGCGCGCTTTGCATCAGATCCCTCCGCCGATTCTCTCTCGGTGTTATCAGGAGGTGTCTAATGGCATGCTGGGGTATAATCAGGCGTTTAAGGTGGATAGAAGGATGGGGTGTAGCCTTGGAGGAATATATGATCGCTTTCCTCAGCTGAGCTCAGAAGTTTCCTATACAGCCTTGGAGGAATATATGATCGCTTTCCTCAGCTGAGCTCAGAAGTTTCCTATACAGTGTTGGAGGAATATATGTTCGCTTTCCTCAGCTGAGCTCAGAAGTTTCCTATACAGTGTTGGAGGAATATATGTTCGCTTTCCTCAGCTGAGCTCAGAATTTTTCCTATACAGTGTTGGAGGAATATATGATCGCTTTCCTCAGCTGAGCTCAGAAGTTTCCTATACAGTGTTGGAGGAATATATGATCGCTTTCCTCAGCTGAGCTCAGGAGTTTCCTATACAGTGTTGGAGGAATATATGTTCGCTTTCCTCAGCTGAGCTCTGAAGCTTCCTATACAGTGTTGGAGGAATATATGTTCGCTTTCTTCAGCTGAGCTCAGAAGTTTCCTATACAGTGTTGGAGGAATATATGTTCGCTTTCCTCAGCTGAGCTCAGAAGTTTCCTCACTAACTATAGGAGTTTATATACGAATTAGGGTAGAAGTGTGCAGAAACTAATAAGAATTTCTCAGAATTTCCTCGGGATTTTCATTTTGTCACCAACACATGTAGTTGACTATGCGCATATTTTCCCAAACTCAATACCGCGCGCCACAAAATTCGTGCCATTTGTATAGTCGTGCATAGGTCAGCTTGGTGCCCTTCCCGTTTCCCTTCGCTCAAATGGTGGCCGCCCTGTTGGTGGTTTTCCTACTTATATTACCAATGATGGTGTTGAGGATGACTCAGAGTAGGGATACTCAACTGTTTTGGATTTCCCTGCTATACCCCCTCCTCGGAAGTAGCGTAGTCCACCTCAGGTACTGTCCTGTCGCCGATCCTCTCATTCTTCTGCCTCCTCGGCTATTGGGGCCTCAATGAGATCGCGGTAGAGTTGGAAAACCCATTTGGGGATGATGACAATGACTTGCCGTTAAAGGAAGTTCATACGGTAGCGCTGTGTGGTCGGTTTATTGGGGTTCGTTTGCCTACTTGCATCTTTGGTGAGATGGAGGGCTGAGGATTTTGATCTTACCATCGATACATTTGGTACATTATGAATTTCCAATGGAGTTTCGGAAGCAGCGAGGTGAATTTTATGATATTTTAAAGCGACAAGTGTGGGCACAAATGGCGACGTAATAGATACCGGCTAGTTGAGCTGTTCAGAGGGAGTCTGTTCTGAGATGGAATGTCCTAATGTGGGTGATCAGGTTTTTGTAAAAGGCATTCGAGATTGCGCAGGAGACCTGACCGGCCTCGACGATGACAGGCACGAGTCGAGTAGAAAATGAATATTTGTGTATATTCGGGAGAGTGTTCTGGTAGGTACGGAATTGAAGAAAATCCATGAGGAGTTGGAGGCTCTCGGCGTGCCCGAGTCACGCTACTTTTCGGAACAGCTGGGAATCGTCGATTTGTCGAGGCTTAGTAAAAGCGAATTGAGAACGAGATTCAACAGTGCTGAGGTTGCGGTCAGGGTTCACAGGTCCGGCTAATCAAGGTTGTGAACTTGTGAATTGAAAACTCATATTTGTCAACGTGAATAACAGGTGGAATCTGTCGGAGTGAGTGAGGACGTTGAGTATTAAATGCATGATTGTTATTATGAGTATGATCATTCAAAGTGCATTGATGAAGTTTCTCCCGTTTTATGTGACGTGGCGTAATACTCTGTGGAAAAGGTGATATTCACGGTGATATGCTGTAGTCGTGAAATATATTTTTCACTGGTGTTTTTTATATAAAACACAATTGATGACGACGACACAGTCCTATGGTCGCTATACTGCCATTTTTCTTCAGGCGTATTGCTGAGTTGTCCGGAGGTGGCACGGCTGGAGGAGGATGACGATGATGATGTATTGTTGGGCATTTCACATGAGTTCGATTTCTGGTGGAAAACTAATGTGGTGTTTTGGGGCTTGTCTGTGAAGTATTTTGGAGAGTTGGTGGATTTATGGTATGCGTTGAATGATTGATTACGACAACAAGCAGTCATCGTTGTTGCTTATACTGCGTTATACGGGATCGGTGTTCCCTCGAACGCTTTTGCCATCACTTCTGTCAGCGGCTCTCGCGGCTGGTAAGCTTTTCCCTGTGTGAAGCTGGAGTTGCTGTCAGGTATTATATTCGACGTGCTTCCATTCGTCCCTCCGACGATCAAGCATCCTTTTGCTGTGCAGATATTCGCTATTATACTCGGTTATGTTATAGTGTTCAGGACGGATATGGCGCTGAATAGGTGAGGATTGTTTCGATAACTATCCTCATAACTATCGATAATTATACTATCAATACTATCGGGTTATCGGTACTATCGATAACCCAGTAACTATCCTGATAACTTCGTAATGGGAGAGATGATCGCTGTCAGCGAGAATCGATCTGTTTTGAAGCAGCGGTTCTGATGATGATTGTTTTTATATAAAGTTAGTGGTAGGTACTGGGAGGGTGTGACTAACGTTCACTTGATGATCTCCAAATGGGGCGATGCCTTTATGCAGATCAACAGCTTTATCAACGTCACAATTCGTACATGTTCGGAACAGGAAGTGTGATGGGGTTGTCCATTCGGCTTTGATCATGGTCGACTTCGGTTCGGTTTTTTAATCAGAAATTGACCGCCGACTTAACTATAACTGTTTTGAAGAGCCATTCGCTGTTTATTGCTTATGCTGGGAAATGGATGGCTCGCGAGGAATATGTTTTCACTCAGAGAGGAGAGTTGGAGGATGTGAGGTCGAGGGCGTTGCATTGGTTCACTCTCCTCAGTGCTATTGCGATTGCGAATTTAAACGGAAAAAATGTGAGTTCACGTTACTGCGCTGAGAAAAAGCCCCGTGGCAAACGCTTAGTGAAATTTGTCCTGGGTCTTGGCAAAAATATGAATGAATCAGCGCAAATCATATTTTGTAGATACGCGATTTGCGGACAGCTTTCAAGCACCGATCGATCCACCCCTCTCGAGCTGGGGTCGCCGTTGGACGTTTGAATGAGGCGGTGAAAGTGACTAAAACGGAGATGGAAGAAATGCTATCGATTTCGCCTGTCGAGAGTGGTCAGTTGATGATGGTGTAACTGCTGCTTGAGGAGCGTCTACTCAGTGGTGTCTCGAATCAAGAGTCGTTTGTTTCCTCCCAACAAGGAAGATGCTGGCCTTGGGCGTTTGGTCATCATCGGGCTTTGCTCTGAGGAGGAGGTGTTGGAGGTGGCGATGTCATCATTATCATATTTCCTGTTTTTGAAGGTGAATCAGCTGGAATGCTTTCCCGACAAGACTTGCATTATATCGTTGTGGATCCAAGAAGCTCTCACGAGGCTGGTCGTTCGAGGCCTCATCAAGGTAGGTTTTGGTCTTTCCTCTGTGCTTGGAAGCTCGTCGTGTAAGGTTCCTCCTCCGATAGTGTCCAGGTGTTATCAGGAAATCTCCACTGGGATGCTGGGATATAATCAGGCACTCAAAGTGAAATGAGGGAAATAAGCACATGGTCGACTACATGTGTTGATGACAATATGAAAATTGTTGAGAAATGTTGGTGATGAATCAGTTCCTGTACATTTGTACCCGAGTTTGTATATAAAGTTTTATAATTGGTGATGTAACTCCTTAGCTCAGCTGAGGGAAGCGATCATTACACTGTGTGAAACTCACAGGTTTTTTATACAGGTCTCGCAAGTGCCGTTCCCGTTCCCATTCGCCCAGATGGTCTCCCTTTTGCTGCTCATCTTCCTTTTCATGTGCCCTATTATGGTTGTTAAGATGACGGAAGGTGGTCACCTGTTATACCCCCTCCCTCGTGAACTCGATAGAGTGTCAGTAGCGTAGTCCACCTCAGGTACTGTCCTGTCGCCGATCCTCTCATTCTTCTGCCTCCTCGGCTATTGGGGCCTCAATGAGATTGCGGTAGAGTTGGAAAACCCATTCGGGGATGATGACAATGACTTGCCGTTGGAGACGATTCACACAGTATTTTCAAATTCCCATTACTGATTTGATAGTCGCTTCAGGAGTTCGTCGATTCTCTTCAAACGTGTGCTGTTGTCGGCCCAGCGAAGCCTTTCCATCACTCTAGTCTGGCGGAGATGACGAGGGAGCAGCTGAAAACTATCAAGGAAGGTGAGGAGCTGAATTCTCTTTTCATGAGGGCGGTCCCGTTCAGCTTCATTGAACTTTCCGGAGTGCGCACTACAACCGAGCAAAGAAAAGCGTAGGAGTTTGCCCCTGCCGAGTTCAGCGTCCTATAACAGAGTTTTCGACTGTTATCGAGATTAATAACGAGTTGGATAAGATGGGCATCAGAAGTTTGCATTTCGGACCGGAGGTGATCCTGAACGATCTCCTGCTGCTGACGCTGACAGACCTTCGACACCGATTCGGACCGGTGGCTTTGAGAGTGTACAGGTGATCGATTACAGTGTTGGGATATGCTCAGTAGTTTAGCAGACGCATTCAAGAGTTGGCGGCAGAGTCGGGAGTGGTAGATGTGGAGCATCTGGCTATGGTGAATCGCTTTCGAGCCCATGCTGTTCGCTAATTGAGGAGTCGACCATGCCTTGTCATTTTCCCCTGAAACGTGTTGTGCTTGGGTCCTCTCCTTATAATGATGATGATTCCTGTGATAACGATCATCCTGGATTAAGTCTCATGCTTCAGCTGCGAGGCTTGGTCTTCAACGTGAAGGTGAGTGATACGTTTACGTTCATGAATAAAGGAGTTAACGCGTGACCCACTCAAACGACTGCGTCGCAGAAAGGATCAGCTCGATGGCTGTCATTGATGCTGTCGACAGAGTACACTCCCAATGAGGTATTTTCGCGAGTCTTGTGAATCCAGCCTCAGCCAGTATCGGATCGTTGCGCTCTTAGAGAAATCCACTGCTAGGAGCCTCGTAATCGTCCGATGGTCGACAAGACCGTCCTCAGATGCTCCCGTTGATCCTCTCCAGATTTTCACCGACATTCGTGCTTTCGAGGGAGGAGGATCAGGGCGTTCTCGTGGCTCTGCCTCTCTCAAAGACAGGGTACCTATCGTCCCGATACTTTCTCTGGTGGAGTTAGAATGCATTTCGAGCGACACTGAGTCATGCTGCATATTTCCATGAAATATGTGTTCATTTCCTGTGCATATCTTGAGTCGGTTGGGTTGATATTGTGGGAGTGTCTTTGGCTATTTCATGTCAGTTTCCTATTATTGTTGTCATCATGAACCCACAGGGCGTGTCTTGTCCACCACCGCCGGGCTATACTCACGCTCAAGTACAGCAGATGCTGCAGGCACAGCAGCAGGTGAAGAAGTAAGCAAGTTCATAGTCGGCCTCAATTTTATGGCGCGTGACGTTTCAGAGCACCTTCGGGTCGGCCAAACGACTGGCAGTGCCCTAATGTAACATGCCGACATTGGAACTATGAAAAACGAACTAGGTGCAACAGGTGTGATACACCAAAACCGGTAAGTACACCAAATTTGACCGTCTCATGTATACGAGCTGTGACGGGTACTTTTCGGTGTTGGAATACATCATAACCTTTCTCGGGGGCAGTTCGCTGAAGGAGTTATAGTGTGTTTGACGACATGAATTTGTGTACTATACGTTACCGTATACACTTCGTGGGCACTCGGATGGTGACCGTTGAACGGTTGCAAGCAACGAAAGGGAAAATCGAAGTTGCTCCAATAGCGATGATTTGAATAAGGCTTATTGTGATGATAAACTCCATGAAGCAATGATATTGTTTATGGCGATGGACTCTCTGTGTTGGGTAGGTCGTACAGCCGGAAACACCGAGTCTTGGTGGCCCTCCTGGACTGTTCAAGAAAGGTTAGTTTGGATGCTCCGGCGGGCTTCCTTGATGCCCTCCCGTAGGTGATTGGGTGTGCACGGGATGTGGCAATGTGAACTGGGACTGGCGAGAGAGGTGCAATATGTGCAACTCGTTGCAACCGCAACTCCAAGTGAGCTCTGACATATCCTTCGGGCGAGCGCTTTTAACGTTGGCCTGTTGTTCAGGAGAGTCGGGAGGGCCAGAGTGGAGGCCATTACGATAGGCAGGATCCCACAGACCGAGAGAGGCATGACTCTGATAACGAGTCGTTGGATGAGTTCGGGCGGAAGAAAAAGAAGAGCAAGCATAAGAGGCATAGGTAAGGATGATCGCGTCGTGCATTGTGAGGAGTCTAAGTGAAGATACGATCCTCTAGCTGATCGACAAGCAGCAGAATCAGCAGCTAAAGCGGCGATGATGGCGGCAACTCGGGCCCTGGGAACGTCGGTCTCTGATCAAGGTAAACAGTGAGTGTTGTGAGATTGATATCTTTGGTGACAGGAGGTATTAATCGTGAGGGACATGAACAAGATGCTGGCAAAAGAGTAGGGTATTACGAGCGTAGGGGTGGTGACGATTTGGGTCGTATCTTTATCGTGAGTCGTAGCTGTGTGGCTCTCAAAGAATGATACGTTCATCATTGTGCCTGTGGCTTTCACTATGTTGGTCTCTCAGGCGAGAGCAAGAGTCGGGTGTCAAGGATCGAAGATTAAGGCAAGTCCCTAGTGATCGAGGTGATAGTGGAAGACGTCTTCCCTCGGTCAGGACTCGGAGTCGCTCGCGTTCACCACGTTACTGAGGGGAACACTAGAAGCATTATACCTTATCGATCTCATTCGATTGGTCATTGCATCGAGTTGTTGTCGTGTTAGAGAGGTCACTTGGGCGCCGCATTTGGATCTGGGGATGAAAACTGTTCACTGTGGGGCAAAGGTCTCGTTTTGAAAAGAACCCTGGTTTGTTCGAGTATCATCGCACAACTCGAGACGATGGGATCATTGCTCGACAGCCCCACTATTCTCTAAACCCTGCTAGATAAGTACAGTACGCGCCATCTAAATCGAGCAATCCTTGTCAGATCGTTTTTTCTTCGAATACATACGCCGATGACGTCCTCAATGCGAAAGCAATAAATGTCAAACCTGGCGGGAAACAGCCGAAAATGCGGCCTGGTTGGTTTACGAATAGCGGGAAACGTATCGA